GATGGAAAGACTGAATAATTAGCAAGATGAACATGCTAATCTGCGTACGAATTGATCTTCGGGTAACAAACTTACAGGGGAATTGGGACAACTGGAAATGTGCATTTATATGAAGTGGATTAAATGGCAGATATTTGGATGATAAATACCAAAATAAAATACAAAAAGCTAACTCTCTATTGAAAATAAACATCAAGTAGGCTTTCGAGACTTCCTGTAAATCAGGTATATGAGTTGTATTTTCCCTATTTAGTTTTTGGGAAAAATCATCCTAAATGAAAAAGGGTGATAACCTACTCACGAAAAAAGTAGTGTCGTCGATTGCTGTAGCAGATATAAGTTTGTTTCATCGACAATCCCAACATAGAATGTGATATGGAAAAGGCCTGACATTCCTTAAAATTCACATCTGCCCTATGAGCCAAGGGTACTCGTGGCAATGTGGCCGAGTTGTTAACGAGTCAAGCTCCCATCCCGCTGGGGGTGTTGATAGGACCAGTTGATGCAAGGTCGAAACTGCAGTCGACTGGTGTCTGGATGAGGACAACTTTTGGGAAAGCAAAGCTTTGTGAAATTAAATGCCCTATTCATATAATTGTGGGAAAAAACCTCTTACAGTCCTATATTGGCTTAAATGAAGCAGGGTGAATACAACGCATATATTTCTTTCAATAGCAATACAAAATGCATATCTTATGTCATTTATAAAAGTAGGTTTAAAAAGTTACTTATAAAAACTGACAATAAAAGTTTGTTTTTCGAGGATAGGCTGCAAGGGATTATACCCGTCATGCAACTGTTCGAGTTCCCTCGTTCTGTGACGTCTGGCTTTGTTGTCAAGTTGTGTTGTCCCCGTCAAAGCCGCCTGAAGCTGCAGAAACGGTAACTTTCTACGCATTTTTATGCATTTAAGTGTATGTTACCAATACCCCGCAAAAGGGTCAAGCAAATGGGCGCATCTTTCGCTGTGACAAGCTTTCTTCGTGCCGACTTGAAGATATGATGGGCTGTTCATCTTCACATCTCCGTCCCGGGAAGTGGTGGCTCTGAGGGCCAATCTCGTCTGCCCATTTGTGCCCGGATCAGGCATGACGAAAGACTGTAATCGTCGCTTTCTCTCTAATCCGATCTGACAAGATGGCAGGAAAGCCACATATCGGCCCGTAAGTGGTTCGGTTTTAAGGTCAAGTCGTCTTGCTTCATTCGTCCGACCCATTTCAGGCCGTCAGAAGAGAAGGGGCGCAGATGTTGCGGTGGAAGGTGACGAATCGGTGGTGGGTGAAACTCCGCGAAGATGTACCCCAGCGCCAGCATCGTCGAATCGCGAGGCAGAAGAGGGGGATGGATGGAGAACATGTGCAGGAGGGGTGGCGATGGAGGGTGACGGTGGATGTGTTGCATCGGAGTGTTGACACGATGCATCACTGTTGATTGGTTCTAAGGGCAACTGATCGGTCTCCCGGTCACGATCCACTGCAAGAACAGATTTGATGATATATTCAACTTCCCATAATTTATATAGAAGGTCTCTTATCTCTACCGTCGATACTACTGAAATGAGGTCAGTAGACATTTGCCAGGGACCGACAGAAATATAAATTGAATACTGAAAAAATAAATATTAACGTCTTGCCAAGTAAGTGAGCTCCGATTTTTACAGTAATCGTGCATTATTTGCATAAATACCAGAGTGAGAGGCTGCAACTAAGTTGAGAGACTTCAGCGATTGAGAATTTCGACTAGTCTTCCACGAGTGGGTAGGGGAATAATAGGAAAAACAACTATTATAAATAAGTAAATTAGTGTAAAGCCTGAATACTTAACAAGGTGACATGCTATTCTGCATAAAAATACATCTTCAGATAAAAACCTTACTGGTTATTGGGACAACTCGAAATGTGCATATATATGAAGTGGATTAAATAGTAGATGTTTGGATGATAAATACCAAAATAAAATACAAAAAGCTAACTCTCTATTAAAAATAAACATTGAGTAGGCTTTCGAGACTTCCAGTAAATCAGGCATATGAGTTGTATTTACCCTATTTCGTTTTTGGGAAAAATCACCTACCAGCCCTTCTTCACCTAAAATAAAATAGAGTGGATACCTACTCACTTACGAAAAAAAGTAGTGTCGTCGATTGCTGTAGCAAATATAAGTTTGTTTTATCGACGATCCCAAAATAGAATGTGGTATGTAAAAGGCTTCAGCAACTGAAAATTTAGACTAGTCTTCCACTAGTGAATAGGGGAATAATAAGAGAAGCAACTTTTATAAATATGTAAATTAGTGGAAAGACTGAATACTTAACAAGGTGACATGCTATTCTGCATAAAAATTGATCTTTGGGTAACAAACTTACTGGTTATTGGGACAATTCGAAATGTGTATTTATATAAAGTGGAGTAAATGGTGTATGTTTCGATGATAATTACCAGCATAAAATACAAAAAGCTAACTCTCTATTAAAAATAAACGTCGAAGAGGCTTTGGAGACTTACATTAAATCAGTTATATGAGTTGTATCTACCTTATTTCGTTTTTGGGAAAAATCACCTTAAATGAAAAAGGGTGAATACTTACTCACATACGAAAAAGGTAGTGTCGTCGATTGCTATAGCAAATATAAGTTTATTTCATCGACAATCCCAACATAGAATGTGATATGGAAAGGGCTTCAGCGACTGAGAATTTCGACTAGTCTTCCACGAGTGGGTAGGGAAAAACAACTGCTATAAATAAGTAAATTAGTAGAAAGACTGAATACTTAACAAGGTGACATGCTCTTCTGCATAAAAATTTATTTTTGGGTAAAAACCATACTAGTTTTTGGGACAACTCAAAATGTGCATTTATAAGAAGTTGATTAAATGGTAGATGTTTGAATGATAAATACCAAAAAGATAACTCTCTATAGAAAATAAATATCGAGTAGGCTTTCGAGACTTCCAGTAAATCAGGTATATGAGTTGGCTTTACCCTATTTCGTTTTTGGGAAAAATCACCTACCAGCCCTTCATAACCTAAAATGAAATAGGGTTAATGCCTACTCACTTTCGAAACAAGTAGTGTCGTCGATTGTTGTAGCAAATATAAGTTTGCTTCATCGACAATCCCAACATAGAATGTGATATGTAAAAGGCTTCAGCGACTGAGAATTTCGATTAGTCTTCCACGAGTTAGTAGGGGAATAATAGGAAAAACAACTATTATAAATAAGTAAATTAATAAGAAGACTGAATGCTTAACAAGGTGACATGCTATTCTGCATAAGAATTGATCTTCGGGTGAAAACCTTACTGGTTTTTGGGACAACTTAATATGTCCCAAATGGTAGATGTTTGGATGATAAATACTAAAATAAAATACAAAAAGCTAACTCTTCATTGAAAATATACGTGCGTTTCGTATGGGTGATTACATGAATTATTACATGACTAAGTATATAATTGCTCGACTAGGCAATCGTGTAGATGGATGTATAATGTACATGCCAGAGTGACTTGAGGCGGCGAGTATGAATGATGGAGTGACATGCGCAAACAACTGGTGCTCGGCGGAGTTCGTCTGTCTTCTCATTTCGCGTATGCTTTGAAGGTGGGCTGTCACCTCTGGCCGGTTGTCACGACGGCAAGAAGCCTCCAAAGTCTGGTGTTGCCGGAGGCAGCACAGTCTCGACGAAAGTCCTCTCTTTGCCGAGGCGACCACAGTTGTCTGGCTCAATTTGGCCGGATTTATCGACGGTCGACACAGTCTTGCAGGCAGTGCGTGGTAACTAAGACGCCCGTCGCCTTGGGGATACAGCTACTGACCAACTTTGGTCTTTGTCTATGGCTCGAAGCAGTCGAGATAATCCTGCTATGCACACGAATTGTGTGCAATATGAAACTTGTGTTGGACGTGGTTCCCTCAGTAATCGGATATCATGTCCCTCTTTGCCGCTCCAAAAGGCTCGCAGCAACATACCAAGAAAATTAGGATTGGACTACAAATGACAATGTTAAGCTGCCAATTGCAATACTTTTTTCCGGCATTTTCAATTTAATTCACAATCGTTTTGCTCTATTTTTCAACCTTCCTCTTTGCGACCTCTGCTGGACTGAAATGACTTCAATATTCTATTGTCCTAACAAATCGACAATGCCGTTGATCCACTAACAGTTATTGCTTATGTAGTTCAGAGCTAATGAAAAACATTTAACGACATTATGCCCTACCCGTTCTGCGGCTGATAAACTGGGAGAAATGAAACCAGATGAATAATTTAACTATAATGCATATCATTGTCTGTTCATCATTTAATTTCCAGATATATTAACTAATAAATATCTCTACTTATCTATAATTTACCTTCATTTTCTCTTTCGATTTCAGACAACCATCATTCTTCCACGTATTTATATATTTGAATTATTATCTTTATTTATCCATATATATATATATATATTTATTTATTTAGTGCAATTTGATTAATTAGCTGTCTTGTGCCAATTTTTATTTCTATACCTTTCCAATTGTCCTACTAGGTTCATTTAATCTACCATCCTTTTGTCTGCGGATCCTATCATTAAATTTCTTGGAATCCCACTTTTTCTACTCGTCCGTAGAAATAACCGCTTGAATTAATTTCGATGTAAAAGTGCATTCTACTTTCCAGACTATTTAAATTTTCGTATCCATCTCAATTTGAATAATTCACTAAATACAGTTTATTTATTTTTGAATATGCCTTTGTATGTTTATACATATTGTTATTAATATCCCATTGCTGGGTATCCTATCAGCCTATTTTACTCTATTTAACTTAAAATCAATCTACCAAACTCTGTGCGTTTGCTTTCCGATTGATTTCTATTAAAAACCAGTTATTCTCGATAGCAATTCATTGGTCGACAGTTGCATCTTCAATTTAATTTTTGGCCATCCTTGTCTATTTTTAGCGTTACTTCGCTCCGTTTTTATGACTTTCCCCGCATGCTTCCTCTCTACCCACTCGCCTTCGAGGCAGTTCCTTGCAGTTACCCCGCCCGAGGCCGCCAGGCTTGTGCAACCCGTGGAATGTTCAATTCGTCGGTTCAGTGGAGAAATACCACCGGGAATGTTGCTTGCCATGCAGCCTGTAGTCCGTTGTCGAGGGACACTTAAAGAGAAACACGCGGGAAATGCTTTCTGTATGGTCGACTAGGGCAAGTCTGGTGTCTGCCCATCAACAGTTGCAGACGGGGTTCGCCTCGTCGTCAGAATTGCACTGGAACCGGAAGTACCTTACCTCATCCACTCGGAAGGAGAATGAAGCTGATGCCGGAAGGTGGGAAAAATGTCAATTTTTGCGAGTCAACATGTAGAAAGAAGACGATTTCTGGCAAGAAAGATGATTTAATGCAGAAGTTTGGACGTGCCAGGCCACCGATGACTCCGAAATGAGGGTATAGCGTCGTTTGGGATATTTTTGGGAACCTTGACTTTAGAGGCTACCGTCTATTGAAAGTAGAATTGCTCTTTTGGCCACAGTGGACAAGTGGTATCCAAGGGCCGAGGTGGTTTAGAAGAAGCGTCTGTAGATAAAAATGATTGTTTAGCTCCCAAAGTGGATTCCCTAAAGTTAACAGGGAAGAGGCTTTCTGTTGCCAGCCGTCCATATTTAGGAGCTTGAAGACTATGAATTGACCGGCTTGGCCGTTTGACTGGCTAAAAAGCAAAACTATAAAGCACATTCTTAACTGGTACTTGAGCCTAGAAATGGTAATAAAAAGCGAAAAAGCAGAGGATACTTCCTTATGGCATTTTCTTTTCTATATTCCAAGTGTTTAGTCATTTGCGTGGCGGGCTAATCAAAATAGGCATAAAACATATCCAACGCTAATCTCTCTCGAGGTCAAAAGACAGCAATAATAAATGTACATTTTGGTAGAAATATTTGATCATTGCATCCCTACGTCCGTCGGCACAGAAACAGTAAATTAGCCAGAATGTTCAATAAAATGAGTGGCTAAACATAATTTAAATACTTTTTCGACAATAAAGGAAAAATTCGCTTGTCTCAGGCCACTTCTGAGGGCGTCCATCTTCCCAGATCGTAGCAAGCAAACTTTGCTAGTCAACTTATCTCAAATTAGTAGTTCCGCTCGGATAAGATCTTGTTGTATGCATAATTCGATCTTCCCGGTTTTCCATATACTGATCTTTCTGCCTACATGGGGTCGGGAAAAGGTAGACTTATAAGCCAAAATCACACTTGGTGATGAGTTCATTTCATGCATGCGTTCATCTTCCCACCTTTCTGAAGCGCAGGAACAAATTTTATTATGCATGAATAATGGCCTAAAGACACTAATATTTCTATACGAGATGTACTCTCTCTATTTAATGTAGGGTAGTCGAA